CTCTCGCGTATCTTTTCGAATAGTGAACACTGGAAAAATATCTTGTTACATTAAGAGGAATTCTGGTAGATTCAACCAGTAATTCTGTTTCGTCCATTTTTGGATAGAACTTTTGTTAATGTAACAAGATTTTTTTTCTAGTGAAGAAATGATGGAAGAATATCATCATGGTTTTTTTGTAAAAATTTTCTCTTAATATGAAATTAATCCGATCGGCGATTGAAACATCTTTAATTTTTTAAAGCACGGAATTTAAATTTTATTAAACGATAAGCGGTTCGATAATTAAAACGCAACGCGAAAATATATATTGAAAGCTTTAATTTCTACACAAGTTCAAACACACTTATTATTTACTATTAAGTTATACAGGATGTTCCAACTCTCTGCAGTACATCCTTGTATATACTATACATATATCATTTCTGTTTTATATGCGTTGTACGTACTTATTATTTGCTATACGACGCATAAATATAATATTGAGTTCCTATAGAATCCACAAAATATATGGCATCTATATGATCAAAAGCTTTAATTAAATTAAAATCGAGACAAAATAAACTCGCACAACCATAGAAAAAAAAGATAGCCAGTACGTTAAGGATGTATGGGAGATACAATCGGAAACAAAAGTATCAAACTATATTCATCTTATAGAAAATCGCTATAGTTTAATATCCTAACTTCCAGCTGTTTTCAGCGTTGACAAATTATTTTCTTTTAAATGGATCAGTGAATGTTAATATAATTTTACAACATTGTTCTTTAAAGTTCCAGTTATACATATAAAAAATTTAAAATACATGGTACTATTTTTTTGATATTGTTAACGCAACATAATCAATCAGAATAACGAATTTTCATAAGATCATATGTAAAACTAGAAATTTAAATTGCAATAGCTTTTAAATTCGTGAATTCAAAGTTAAGTGTTAAAAGTAGCTTTAGCATCAAAGTAGAAGCAATCTATATTAATTTTGTACCACATTTTTAGATGTCTCCCATACATTCTTAACACACCATATTTCATGTGCAGCATGCTGCCGCAGCACTTTGTTGCTATTAGTGAAGTTCAATTGAACGAATAGCAAAGCAGAACACGCAACTAGGTGATTTCAATTATTATTATTATTATTATATTAGTTACCCAGCAAACATAGTATATAAATGTTATATACTTAAGCATGTTACATGTAACGTATATGTTAGTCGTAATTTCCCACTCATAGATGTAACATTTTTAATATTACATATATTACATTGTAGTTATATTGTCATTATATCCCAAGATAGCACTGACTTATCAATACATCAATGTGCTATTTGGTATATAATTACAATATAACTACAATGTAATATATGTTATATTAAAATGTTACATCTATGAGTGGGAAATTACAACTAACATGGATGTTACATGTAACATACACGTTATATTACCTGTTATATTCCGTTTTATTACAGCAATGTAACAATTATATATCGGTGTTTGCTGGGATAAATAATGGATTTGTGGAATAAAATGGATTACGAGAATATATCAGCAAAAATCGTAATTTCAAAATCAAATAAGAACGAGAAAATCTGCTCTAATAAATGTTAATCACGTGACCGATTCGCTGCTGTATGAAAGGGCACCTTTAAATCTCGAGTTCTCTTTCTCTCCGTTTTATTACAGCAATGTAACAATTATATATCGGTGTTTGTTGAGATAAATAATTGTGGAATAAAATGGATTACGAGAATATATCAGCAAAAATCGTAATTTCAAAATCAAATAAGAACGAGAAAATCTGCTCTAATAAATGTTAATCACGTGACCGATTCGCCGCTGTATGAAAGGGCACCTTTAAATCTCGAGTTCTCTTTCTCTCCGTTTTATTACAGCAATGTAACAATTATATATCGGTGTTTGCTGAGATAAATAATTGTGGAATAAAATGGATTACGAGAATATATCAGCAAAAATCGTAATTTCAAAATCAAATAAGAACGAGAAAATCTGCTCCAATAAATGTTAATCACGTGATCGATTCGCCGCTGCGTATGAAAGGGCACTTTTAAATCTCGAGTTCTCTTTCTCTCCGTTTTATTACAGCAATGTAACAATTATATATCGGTGTTTGCTGGGATAAATAATTGTGGAATAAAATGGATTACGAGAATATATCAGCAAAAATCGTAATTTCAAAATCAAATAAGAACGAGAAAATCTGCTCTAATAAATGTTAATCACGTGACCGATTCGCCGCTGTATGAAAGGGCACCTTTAAATCTCGAGTTCTCTTTCTCTCCGTTTTATTACAGCAATGTAACAATTATATATCGGTGTTTGCTGAGATAAATAATTGTGGAATAAAATGGATTACGAGAATATATCAGCAAAAATCGTAATTTCAAAATCAAATAAGAACGAGAAAATCTGCTCCAATAAATGTTAATCACGTGATCGATTCGCCGCTGCGTATGAAAGGGCACTTTTAAATCTCGAGTTCTCTTTCTCTCCGTTTTATTACAGCAATGTAACAATTATATATCGGTGTTTGCTGGGATAAATAATTGTGGAATAAAATGGATTACGAGAATATATCAGCAAAAATCGTAATTTCAAAATCAAATAAGAACGAGAAAATCTGCTCTAATAAATGTTAATCACGTGACCGATTCGCCGCTTCGTATAAAAGGGCACCTTTAAATCTCGAGTTCTCTTTCTCTCCGTTTTATTACAGCAATGTAACAATTATATATCGGTGTTTGCTGGGATAAATAATTGTGGAATAAAATGGATTACGAGAATATATCAGCAAAAATCGTAATTTCAAAATCAAATAAGAACGAGAAAATCTGCTCTGATAAATGTTAATCACGTGACCGATTCGCCGCTTCGTATAAAAGGGCACCTTTAAATCTCGAGTTCTCTTTCTCTCCGTTTTATTACAGCAATGTAACAATTATATATCGGTGTTTGCTGGGATAAATAATGGATTTGTGGAATAAAATAGATTACGAGAATATATCAGCAAAAATCGTAATTTCAAAATCAAATAAGAACGAGAAAATCTGCTCTAATAAATGTTAATCACGTGACCGATTCGCCGCTTCGTATAAAAGGGCACCTTTAAATCTCGAGTTCTCTTTCTCTCCGTTTTATTACAGCAATGTAACAATTATATATCAGTGTTTGCTGGGATAAATAATGGATTTGTGGAATAAAATAGATTACGAGAATATATCAGCAAAAATCGTAATTTCAAAATCAAATAAGAACGAGAAAATCTGCTCCAATAAATGTTAATCACGTGACCGATTCGCCGCTGCGTACGAAAGGGCACCTTTAAATCTCTCGAGCTCCGCGAGAGCTTAAACGTCAGACGCGTTTGAGCGTCACTGGTCCATAGAGTATCGCGCAGCGCGCTTGTAGTAGGGACGACGGATACGACGGAGGAACGCGAGGGGCGGGGAAGAGAGGGAAGGGGGGGCTCAAGGCCGGTCGGAAGGCCTGCGCGCCGAAATATCAACAAGCCTTTTTCCTACTCGGGAGCGAGCACGCTCCCGATGACGCTCGATTGTTGTCGATCCCTGTCTTTCTCGAAGGGAGAAATCTCTGATAACGCTAAGAACTCGCGAAAGGAACAACCGCTCGTAAAAGTCGCGCCGCGGTTTAACGCCCGAGAGACGAACGAGAAAAGGAGGGAGTAATATAAAGAAGAGAGAGAGAGAGAGAGAGAGAGATGGGGAAGAAAAGAGACAGCATGCATGCGCGTGCGTTTGGTTTCGGACAGGTGGCACGGACTATAGTGGCGGCTGACAGCTGACAGTTCGTGAAACTCCGTATCGAGGAGCTTACGAAACTGACTTGTCACAGGAGAGAGAGAGAGAATTAGGTACATGTAGGATAGGCGTCTCTCTTGCGCGGGGGAAGAGGAAGACAAAGATGGAAAGAGAAAGGAGAGAACGTAAAGTTCCGAACCGAGTGTCTCGGCCGGATGAAAATCGCTGCCAGGTGTGCCGCGCGAATCTCGAAGACTTCGCGTTTTGCTCCGACGACGACGACGACGTCTACGCGAAGAAGAACGCAAAAGAGAGAAAGGGGAATCAAAGTACGCGCGAGGGAGAGAAGGGAAAGAATAAGAGAGCGAGAAGGACGGATAGAGTGGGGACGCGGTGGAGAGGGAGAGACTCGAGGGGTCATCGGGAAACATAACCTCCGTCTCTCGGAGTCTTTAATGTACATGTATACGTTACTACGCCCGCTCTTACCTCGTTCTTTTCCTTCTCTCTCTCTCTTTCTCTCTATCTATCTATCTATCTTTCTCCGTTCGGGATCTATCTCTCGCTGGACGGCCGACGAACGTGTGTCGCGTGAAGCCCCCGCCCTCTCGCGGAGAGAAAGAGAATATTAAGGCACTCCTGTGACAGTTTCTTTATTTCACGAGATCTCGACTTGGAAGCACGGCGAGGCACCTTGTTCCGTATCCGTTGCGCGAGCACAGCGAAGGGCGATCCGCGAGCGAGAACGTATCACGTCGCACTGGTCGCACTTAAACCGATCCGCACTCGCGTGTATACGAGGGAGAAGGAGAGAAAAAGAAAGAGTGACAGAAGGAGAGACCGGAGCACTCGCGCCGCTGCGCTCGCTCCCGGTGGATGACGACGCGCCGTGTCGGGTATACTCCCGGGTCTACTGCGAGAGTGGTAATAACCATGAGAGAGAGAGAAAGAAAGAGAGAGAGAGAGGCGGGACAGGGGCGAACGAACCCGGGGCGCGCAACACGCACCTTCGCGTCACGTTACAACAGCGAGGCGGCGGGTTACAATGAGCCACGGGCGGTCACGGGTAGCCACAGGCACGGGCCACCTCCGGCTGGCGACACCTCCGCGCACCACGAGTTCGCGCTCGACTGTCTCTCCTTTTCTCTTTCTCTCCTTTTCCCTCCCTCTCGCTTCCCTCTCCGCCTCCTGTCTGTGTGTGTGTGTGTGTGTCGGGGCCCTCGTACCTGATTCTCCGTCTCTATCCGTCTATCCTTCTCGTCGTTCTTTCATGAATACCCTCTCTCTCTCTCTGCGTTTTACGGTGACCGTACGCCGCGAAGCGGATAGTATAGTACAAAGTCGCGCGATGGCGACACCTTCGCGGATCTGCTCCGAACGCGCTCCTTTGGTCTCCTTTGCCGCTCGCCGGCCGACACGGAGGCTGGATGGTTGCGGATCTCTCTGTCCCGGAATGTCGGGTTACGTATATGTGCGACGAGAGAATTTTCTCGCTTAATTTGTTACCCTGAAAAACATGGCGATCGTGGGACAATTATATGTGGTACGCTGAAAGAAAAATTGATCGAATAAATGTTTATTTCGGTACTAATGATATATTGATTTCAAGTGGAGGAATATTTATTACGTATATAAGAAAATCCTTTTCAACGTGACAAATATTTATTCGTTTCGAATTAATTATTTATAAGGCAGTATTGAAATAAATATTTATTATGGTTTAATCATTTTTTAGTGTATTTCGGAAGAATGTTGTAAGAGATGAATATCTACCACAAAAAAATGTAAAATATGTTCAATTCATTTTATATATTAATATTTTTTATTAGTGGTAAATATTAATCAGAGAAACTTATAAAATTCTTTATATTGTCCTACGATTACCATGATGTTCAGGGTAAATTCTAAGAGAAAATTCTCTCCGTATATACGTATTTCCGCGTCGAAAAATGGAAAATTTGCACGCGATAACGCGTCACACGTTTCTCATCGATAAACTCCAGTATCGTTCAGCATCGAATCGCGATTACGACGAGTGAGATAAAAATTTCTCCAACTCCGTTTTACGTTTATATTATAAATTGCGGAATATTTTGCGTTACGATATATCTCACTTTAATCGCGTGCTTCGGAAATCTCTTGCGATGGATTATGTTCGAAGACGGAAGATTCCGGATTAATTAGCGACTATTAGAGTCGACGTTTGTATTTCGATTATCTCGAGTCCGCTGCCTTATCGAGAACCGTGTCCGAGGTGAGATAAACAATCGATGCAGATTATAGATTCGCATTCGTGCGGTTTCATCCATCTGGTTAGCAGAGATCCAAGACAGGAAACTCGTGTCGCGACAGACGAAAATCACATCGCGGTTCAACGCTCGAGGCTGACCGAGGTCTTACAGCAGCTTTGCTCTCCTTAGTCGAGACGATCGACGATCGATCGACTTTGTCAACGAAGAAAGGTGATGATCCTACTCGGCGCTATTTATAATTATAAAAGACACAATTGTCGATTTAGCATTATTTTTCGTTTTTATCCAGAGGAATATGAACCCAGCAAACACCGATATATAATTGTTACATTGCTATAATAAAACGGAATATAACAGGTAATATAACGTGTACGTTACATGTAACATCCATGTTAGTTGTAATTTCCTACTCATAGATGTAACATTTTAATATAACATATATTACATTGTAGTTATATTGTAATTATATACCAAATAGCACATTGATGTATTGATAAGTCAGTGCTATCTTGGGATATAATGGCAATATAACTACAATGTAATAATATATGTAATATTAAAAATGTTACACCTATGAGTGGGAAATTACAACTGACATATACGTTACATGTAACATGCTTAAGTATATAACATTTATATACTGTGTTTGCTGGGAAGATATTCGTAATATTGTAGAGAAATTTTATTTTCTACATTTCGAACATGGTTGTCGTTAAAAAAATTATACATCTGCTCTCTTTTCGGAAATATAAACACTGGAATTTATTTATATAAATAAAATAAAATAAAAATAACCAAAAAAAAATTAAATTCTAAAAAATTGAATGCCCCCTTCTGGAAAAAATCCTGCGGACGCCCGTGATTTCGGAGGATAAAAAAGTCAGGCTGAAGAGTTTCTCTTTCTTGTAAATTTAATTTCATTTTTTAACCTCTTTATAAATTTACGTTATTCATCGTGGAATTCGACAGAAATACAACATGACGATATATACCCTTTCAAGTAAATTACTTATATTATCGTGTGTTTTATCGAGATCTAACAATAAACGCGCGATTCTGGGAAATTTATTTTAAGAAGCATTGATTCAACAAACTGATACACAATAGATAATATATCAACATACATTTTTTTTTATAAAATATACCTACGTAAAACAATTGGATGGACTTATCGATTTAGAGATATATATTTTCTTATATATTTATAAATATATTGTGTGTTATAGATCGAAACAACACGATCATGTATTCGAAAGAAAGAAAGGCGCGAGATAATAAGTATTGAAAAAATACTGTTTTTTTTCACTTTCAGTGGAAATGTTGCAACGGTTACACACACACACATATATATATATATATATATATATATATATATGTATATATATATATATATTTTTTTTTTATTCGTTATTTATTATATACACATGATGCGTAAACATCGACACTCATTTGCATGTCGGAATTATTTTATTGAATGAAAATAAAATTCTATCAGATGCGGGAAGGAACGATTCTCGATCCTCCAAGATCGATCAAGGATTATACAATCGCTGTTTCCGATCGAACATTCTTCTCTACGTTCGAAGAAACGTATGATTCATCGAGCTAACGCGCATCCGAAAGCAATGCCCTTTTCATGCGTATTTTAAGTGCGTGTTGAGTTCGAGCCACACGGATGTGTATCGAGTCGTCCGTCAGAGAAACATTTTCGACGTCAACTGTTACAATATTAGCCTGGATCCCTATATTGCTTAAACTCGATTTTTGTGAAACAATGAGGAACTATGTGGTGTAAGATACTCGCCTCGAAAACAAATCCAGAAGCGAGAGACGTCTAAAGTAACTGTCGTTTTTACGACGTCATCCAATCCCTAATTACAGAAAATTAACTTAGGAATTAAATTAAAAAAATATCGATATTCTTAAAATATACTGTACTATATTTAGAAAAAAATTAAGCAAAAAATTAAAAAGAGCGCGATTTAGTATCTCCAAATATTTGCAATTGCTTTTTTCTCAAAATTTAAACCCCAATGTAGCCTCTTTGTGCATAATTAGACGCAAGATTAAAATATAATAAATACAAAATGCCACGCGTATTGCAGTTAGCTCTATTATTTAACAAAATAATAATATATATTATAGTAAAAATCGATAAACAATATTGAAATAAATGTTCTTCGGAAATGAAGAAAAATATTTAACAATTACAGAGCTTCAAAATTAAGGTACTTTAACGAGTATCCCCGTTGTAAAATCTACTCAAATAATAACTTGTGCGATCGCGCACTTACATTCAAGATATATTTGTATATATATATATATATATTTATATATATATATATATATTTATATATATATATATATTTATATATATATATATTTATATATTATAAATATATATATATATTTATTTATTTATATATGCAGCGCGATGCGCCAACAATGCGTAACAATGACAAGGATTTCCGTATGTTTTCTCTTTCTCTCTCTCTCTCTCTCTCTCTCTCTTTCTCGTACGAGGACGAGAAGTCATCAGGTACGTGCGGTCCACCTTTTTTCCCCTTTTCACTTTTTCGATCTCCCGCGCGAAAGATCGCGGGATTAACATACTTATATAATCGTAATCTCGGCGAACGCCAACAAGTACAGCGATCTATTTGCTACACGACGACGGCAAATTCGTGGTCGGTGTCGGTGTAGGGCTGCTGCTGCAGGATCTGCTCAGAGCGCGATGCGGCTCGACGTTGAGGAAGGTGCGATCGGTGGATGTGGGTGGCGCGGAAACGATTTCCGGTTCCGCGGGACTCGGACACCTCCTCTGGCTGCAGTTGGATCCCGTGTTCCTCGAAAGCGTCTGCAGCGGTATCCGATAGATCCTTATCGGCTTCCAATCGCCCTGACTGTCTGCGAAAGGAACATTCGTTCGGTTGGCAAGAGAATACGTTCGTTAAGCATTTGGAGTAATATAATGATCGAGTTGGAGAGAGGAGGATGAAGGCCGGGGATGGTTTCGACTTTTAACGAAGTCGCGAGTAGAAGGTCACGTACTTTGAAAACTCGATCGAGAGGAGAAGGAGGATTGCGAGGGCGGCGGGCTGCAAGGCATCTCCTCCTTCTCGAGTGGTTTCGAGTCCAATCGTATTCGCTCGCATTTTCCTGGGAGGAATTCCGGTGCCGTGGTCGCGAAGAATATATCCCGCTTCGAGGTAATCAAGTTGAGGTTGGGCATAGCGATCGTGTGAACCAGATTGCCGTTTATTATCAGTCGAATCTCCATCGTGTCGTTAGTGAAGGCGATCACGTATGGAAAGGCACAGGCTGTCGTGAAAAACCACATACGGTTATTTCAATATAAAATGCAAAAATTCTATCCATAGATAATGACTGAATATTTTATGCATATCAAAATTTTTCCTCGCACCTACGGCTATCGGTATCGAATTCCAATTGAAGTCGAACTCGGTCGGCGCAGCGTTCTCTTCCATCAGTTTTTGAAAGTGACATGTATCTAAAAAAAATTTTTTTTTACAATAAGTCTCACAAGGTATTACTAATTTAGCCTTTAAATTTAAGCATCGTGGAGAAGCATTTTATTAAAAAATATTCTTAAAAATTTCTTAATATATTGCTTAAAGTCTTGAATAGATGGGCGTCCACGGAGGGGGTATTTGCCGCCCCTTGGAATCCTTAAATCCTTAAAAAAATTAAGCATTTCTCCTTGTGAAAAATGCTGGAATTTATTGGCATATTTAAGAATATTTAATATAAAAGAGGAAAATTAAGAAAGAACAAAATATAAGAAACAAAACAATTTAATCATGCTTTCCTCCTGAAAAAAAATCCTGCAGACACGTCATGCTTGAATATACATATATAAAGATAATGCAAACTCGAAGCAATAAATTATGAATTACATAAATTAAAAATAAAAATAAAAACGGCGACTTACTGTTGTAACAAAGTAACAGTTCCGGCTCCTCGTCCTCGCGAAGATCCAGCGCCGCCACCAAATGCGGTTTAGGCGTCGCTTCCAAAGGAACGATCCTCGAAACTCCGGACGAGGAGATAAGTTCAAAGTGATGTCGGGCGCCGCAGCACAGCGTCCACTCGTTCGTCGGATCGGCGCTCTCGATCATCGTCACCAACGTGGGTGTCTCGCTCGCGGTGAACTCCTTTAGCTGCAGGAAACCGTCGACGGTGTCGGTGTCGGCTGACGAGCACCAGATGGTCCAGGCCGCGTTGTGCTTCCACTGATAGACCGTCAGTCGGCGGCCGACGACTACGCACTGTTTCGCAAATATATTCGCGTTGCGTATTTTTTTTCTCACGTCAAAGTTATTTAACATCAGAATAGAAGCCAGAAAGACGAGATTTATATTTAAATGTTGCGGAATAAAAGAGGGAGAAAATTTAATTAACCGATGTTTTGACAGATATTTAATTAATTATCGTTCGTTCCGAATGTGTTACCGATACTATTTTCATATTTTTAATATTGTATGAAATAACGGTATTTGCAGACGAATGAGAAGATTCTTTTTTTTTTTTTTTTTTTCACGAACGTTTTCACCCGATTCGTTCTCCATTCATCGATCGCGTTATAAAATTAATCTTCTGTCAATGCATAATTCTTTACTTTTTTTAATCAATGTAGGTGTTTTATATTACACTATGATAATTTTTTTATAAAAGCTTCTGGATATCGAACATTTTTTTCCCACGATATTTTAGGAGGTTTCTCAATACAAAGGCCCTTTGCATTTTATTTCGAGCGGAGAAAAGTTCGACACATTTTCAACATCTATTAAAGTTGCTTTGGGCATCCGGGTACCCGTTCATTTGAAAGGATTAAAAAAGGACGAACAAGTACGAAACTCGAAACTGTACTTTACCATGCGTAAGTGTGAGCCTCCGGATCTGGTGATGCTGTACAAGTGAGATCCTCGCGTACGTCGCAGTTTCCTCTCCTTGATGTGCGCCCGGCTTCTGACAGCTGGAGCGCGAACGCGCGCACGTGGCCGCGAACGCGTCTTTGGCTGAAATCGGGCGGTGGCGCGAGTGAAATTGTCGCACTCGTCGGCGTCGTCCTCGTCGCACTCGTCGTCGTCGTCGTCGGCCTCCTCGTCGTCTACGTCGTTCTCCTCCCGCGTCTCGTCGTTCTCGCGATTGTTGAACAGCTCGGCGCATCTCGCGGACGCGTCGCTCTCGAACTCGCGCAACCGGAAAACGTACACGCTATTTTCCTTGCCCTTGTCGCTCGCGCGAAACAAGAGTATTCCGTGCTGCTCGACCACGTCCAGCTGCTTGATCTGCACCGACTCGTCGAAGATCAGTCTGTGCGAGAGCCCGTCTAGAAATTCGAAAGCAAAACTCGATGTTATAACTCTTGGTTTTTTTCTTCTGATTTTTAATGGTAACTTCACTGAAAAGCTTGATTTCAAATAAATATGTATTTCAATAGTGCCATTAACACCGCATTTGTTTGAAACAATAAATAAATATTTATCTGTTTTGAAAAAGGATTTCTTACATCAAATAAGTATTTTTTCACGGCAAATCAATATCATTAGTTTCAAATAAATGATGTTAATGGCACTATTAAAATAAATATTTATTTGAAATCAATAGCTTTTTTTTCAGTGTTGTTGCACGTTGCAATTTGCTGCACGTTTGTATTTCTTCAACGTTAGATTTCCGACATATTTATTTAATTTAGATAGATAGATAGATAGATAATTTATTCAGTCAGCTTATTAGTCAAGAAGGGACTTGGTTTACATCAATTTCTACCACACTCATACATCCATACCTTTCTATACACGCGGAACCCTTACAGTACAAAATAATTACAACATAGTCGCAAGTACCAAAGTACCAAAGTACACAAAATTACAGATACTAAATACATAAAATAAAATAAAATATACATATCACCTAAATATATAGATAAATTACAATACAAATACCAAAGTTACATATTCAGTCTTGTATTCTTACACTCTGACTATTATTATTATCACAGATTCTTTTCTTTATTGCCTCTTTTTCCTTTCATAATCTTTTTAATATTATTGCTTTCTTATCGTCTAAAATATCATTAAACATTCTTGTGATCCTATCTTTTTCGTTAATTTCCTCTAAATCATTGAACCATTCTCTCGCTACCATACATTCCTTTACATAATGTTATACCTTATCCCATCCGCAGTTACAGAATTTACATATCTTACTCTCGTCTTCTAGCCAATATTTATTACAATCCTCGAAATTACCGCATCTTAACTTAACGAGAGCTCTTGTCTCATCTCCATACCTATACCTATCTAACATTTCTTTTCTCAGAAAATTAGGCTTTGTGTTCTTTTCCATCTAGAGTCTTATATCTTTTATTGTACTTTGCCTCTCTAATTCTCTCATCCTCTGTTTGTCTTTATATGTCTACCTCTCTTTCCCTTATACTACTTACTATATCCATCTCCTCTTGTCTCAGACTCCAGCCTTTATTATTAAAATACCTTTCCTTTTCTCTACTATAATAATCTTTTGACATATTTATTTAATTAATTATTTATAAATAAATTATTTTAGTACAAATAATATCATTATTAATATCAGCAGACACAAAATAAAATGTTAAAAAAGAAAAGTTTGAAAATGACTTCAAATTACCATTAAAAAATTAGTATGTGAAGATGGTATATCATTTAATGGAAAAATTGAATATGAATAATTGAAAGTTTTGGCTTATTTTTAATAGTTCTAGAATTCTTGATAATTTGTTTAAACAAATAGGTAGTTCCAGCGATTAAACCAAAGAAAATTCCTATAAGGACAAATTGACATGCCAACTTCACGCAGCATGTGTGTTGCGATCCATGGATATATTTATCGTTAATTTTAGCTTGTGTGCTGTATATTTATATTGTGTATATATTATAATGCGAAATAATAAGATTATTCTAATATATGTGTGCATTTTATTTGTTACAGGTGGCAGTGCGATTCACGCGTCGTATCGGGAGTGCCGTGTAAAGTTTCGCGCGTCGGGAGTGCCGTGTAAAGTTTCGGGCGATCGTAATTATTCGTATTTTCGCGAGTGTCGTGAGTGCTACGAAGGACCAAGAGAGGAGGAGGAGGCCCGGGGAGGCATCGGGCGACAGCGAGGCAATTGTGAGGTATGCAAAATAAAAATGTTTTTTATAAACTGTATTGTTTGTGAGATATTCAATCGTTTCCAGACTTTCAAAACATTCTGTATATATGTTTATACATATACACATACACACATGCATATACATAATTTGAATACTTTCTTTTCAGATCAACGTGCTGTGCACTACAACTCCGCATCGCGTGTATTGGTGAGTGAGAATTTATTTTATAACATTTCTATAGCGCTAATAAAGATGTGTGAAGCATTTCATTTCATGGAAACTTATAAATAATTAAGAGGTCTTGATAATTTAAACAAATAGTTCTAATGATTCAACAAAAGAAAATACTTAAGATTTAGAGTTCTAAAGAGTTCTGCCTTTTAAAAATAAAACATATTAATTAAAACTAAATAAATACCGGTAAATTTCTTATTTGAACATACCAAAGTAAAATTTCGCTCGATTTTCAAGATTTCTGCTTATTACGAAATAATTCTGGTATAGTTCTGAGTAAGTGCCTTTGCTTTACCAAAGAGTTCTGATGATAAAAATACTTTGAAAATTTTTTAAATATTTTATCCGAAAAATTCATTTCGACTATAAAGATGAGATTGTATTTCGAGAGTTATACTTATTATGAAATAATTCTCGTTTATTTCTGGATATATACAATGTCTTTTCAAAGAATTCTGCTAATAAAAAAAAATAAAAAAGGTTTAAAAAATTCTATTTGTTTAAACTATCAAGAACTCTTGAATCATTGAAAATAAAGTCAGGGTTCTTCACTATTTTATGATCTTTTACGAAATAATATGTGTGCTAGTTTTACACATCAAAAGTTCAACGTTAAAATGCGAAAGGAGATAATAAATGTTTAAAAGAGACCAAAATAATTCGCGCGATTAGAGATTTCGTTTGCCAACAAGCGTATCCGATCGTAGGAAGTACGTGAAATTATTAAATATATATATATATATATACCTTCGATGAGAAACGTTCCGCTTTCCGAGGCGAGGATCAGTCTGTTCTCCAGCCAGACGTCACCGCAAACGACTTCGTACGGGAAATCGGGATAGATGCATCTCGGTTCCCATGGCCTGGGCTTTAGAGGGCCGACGGTTGCGAGAGAGGTGGGTGCGAGACCACGCATAATAGCTTCCAGTTTCAACGCTTGTCCGACTCGCACCATCTCGACGGCACGTGTCTCCTCTCGACGTCGACCCGGCGCCTCGACGACGTCTGAGAGCGCTCGCCGATTTAGCATGCTCTATTGTACAGAATTGTGCCGAATCGATCTTTAAACTCCTCGATATCAAGCTTTCTCGAAACTACCGTCGCTAAGCATTCCGCGTATTTCTTTCTCCGGAAAAATATTTTATCGATTTTTCGTACGGTAATGTATTAATATTGATCTCGATTGAAAATTAAAAAGATAAATCTTATTAATAAAAATCAATATTCAAATTAACAAATTATAGAAATAAATATCACCGCAAGTTTCTTTACGTCGCACTTTATCACGAGTATTATCAATCAAAGTTAATGGAACGTGGAAAAAGTATAAGCGACATGGTTTTCGCAAAGTGACTTACGTTGCTCTTGCTCTCCTGCGAGTGCTCCTGGTACATATCTCGCAATAGGGCGTCGAGGGTTCTTTCCCTCTTCCTGGAGAATGTCGGGGTGTCGAACGTAGCCTTCTCGCCGTTGATCAACTTGACGAGGAGAAATTCTCGGAGATTATACGGATCCTCGAATACCGGTGGGCAGGGTAGGCTCGGGCCAAATAAGGGTACGTTTTCATCGCAGTAAATGGCAACCCGCCATCCCTTGCCGTCCGCTTCGGTCGTTACCACGGCGAACACGTCTGTGGGAAAAAATTAATCAGCCAACGAGTAATCTGTTTTTATCTTGTTTCATATAATTTTATGTTAGATTTTTTCTGAAATGCGCGTTTATTTAATGTTTTTGCTGCGATGTGATTAATTTGATTAATTAGTAATTAGCAAAAATGAAAATTATGCGGGAAGAAAATTGTTAATAATTATACGAATGAAAATCGTTATTGATAATGCACGCGCATAGGTATGTAGGTGTATAATCGAGAAATGCATCAAAAGCATCAAGCGAATAAATATTGTTTAAAGTTCAAAGAAACGGAAATAAAATTCTGTAGGCGTGCGAAATGAAGCCAAAGGGTGTAAAAAGGAAATGAGAATCACTGTGCTGAATGGTATTTGAGTGTCAACTGTACAGCTCGTGTGCTCTTTATGTAACGACGACAATAAGCAAGGTTCGGTTGATATATTGAAACATGATCTTATCTGACCTTAGGTGTGATATTTTTCTTAACTCACGGGTAAATTGGCTCCTTATGCAATTCGGATTGAACGTATCCACGGCTGACGGGTCATCCGTATAGATGATGTTAACGATATCGTTGCCGATATGTCTTTTCCTCTCTAGCTGCTGCGGATTGTCTTTTGAATATGGTAACATCGTGCTAACGTGATACATAACTTCGTGACCTGCATAAACGGTGTAGTAGCTCTCTTTGCCAGTCATATCTCCTGAGAAACGATAAAACGTATACGAATAAAATCATGGAAATGAGAAAGAAAATTCTTTATATTGGCTACGAGTGTAGAATATCATAAATATCACGAAAAGTATCAAAGAAACTGACTGTAAAAAAAAAGACAAAATAAAAAACCTATTTAATTGACAATATACTCAGCATTATTTTAATATTATTTTCTAATTTCAGTATTATACATTAATTTTTTTTTATCGCGCAAATGTTAAATTATATATTCAGACGTTAATGAAGAAAGAACAATCCAGCAGTTTATTAATCGGAAAGTCGGGAAATGGAACAAAAAATATTAGAACTCCGTCGGTGAAACAATTTGCAGAGAGAGAGAGAGAGAGAGAAAGAGAGAAAGTAGATATAGATTGCAAATCTCTTCTGATTGTAGACCCCGAGTTTGCACTGTCAATATCCATATTATCAACGTACCTTTCACATCCAAGCCTCCCCGGTACTTGTCCCAGCCTTTGAGCCGTATTCGCTCGCCTAGGATCTCTAGGAAGGTCTCGAAGCCCGGGCTACCTCTTTCTATAAGCAATGACAAACGTTTCTCAGCGGGGAGGGAATCGATAGCACTATCTATTATCACTTAATTTCCCATCTCGACTGTCTTTTGTTCCCGACACTTCTGATAGTCTTACCGTTAGACAGCATCTCGTCGTCGGTGGTCTGACCTTCTCTCGCGTAAATGACGCCAAACTTGAAGTTCACCGAGCCTTCTTGCTCCTCCAACAGTAACAGATCCTGCAACAGGCATCATTGAATTACGTCCCTGATGATGTCATTTGTCGAGCGTGAAATTGGCATGAAACGTTTGTATATATAAATGTACCTTTTGAAGTTCGGGCGTGAAAACTTCTCGCGGCACCTTATCGAGTTTCTCCAGACCAAAAAAGTTACTGAAAAAGTCAGAGAGTTGGTAAGTAGTCTGACGTGAGGTGCAGTTACATGTTCCTTTCAATTTGTGGACCAATAAAAAGATAGTTACCTGAGAATCTGTCTGATAGTCATTGTCTTGTTCGCCGAATACGGCAACGATATTTTCTGCGCACCCTACGTGAAACATTTCTCAATTTATCTCACGATTGATTTTGTATTCACATATAATTAATTTTACTCTCTTAATAAGTACGCGTGCTTCATCGAGATCGGAATCGGATTTTATAATGGAAGTAGATTATATAATTAAACATCTATTATTTTTATTTGTACATTATGCACGAAGCAAATTTGTATGTTAAAATGAAAAATATATAGATATTAATTTATATTAAATAAGAGGAATTATATGCAATATTTCTTATAAAAAAAAAAAAGATTTTTTTAATATGATGGAATTTCATGTTAATGTGAATTGGAAATATAAATAATTTCATAAATTCTCAAGAAAAAGAAGAAGAAAAAATATCAGATATAAATCGGATCAAATAATCTTTTTTTATAAATAATATATTATCTACTTACAGTTCGCCTCCATAAAATAACTCTGTAGTGCGGTACGCATTGATCACCGACTTCGCTTGTGACTACCGAGAGAAAGAGAGGATTTCTCTCTTGATCGGAAGCGATGTAATTTTGATGCACTGTGCATAGATAGAAGCGCAATTAGTATTCACATACCGCTTATTGTTTATCACTTTTAAGTATCGATAATTAAACCGTGTAAGTCATCGTTAAGGCAACATTTTTGTATTTATGTAAAGCTAAAGTGCTACAAAAAATTGAAAAGGCAGTTCCACTCTATCCATAAATTTTTATTAAACGCAAGGACGACTAACTCGGTCGAGCAAAGAAAGAGCATAACTCTATTTACATAAGTAGACTTCCAACGGAATTTTCCATCGCGTTACCGCGCAATAATATATATATTTATTCATGAAAACGAAATCTGAGTTAAAAAACTAGGATGTCAAATTCGCGCGGGCAAAAATATTTAAAATAAAATTCGATATGCTATATATATTTGACAAAACTTACGTTTGCCCAGAAAGAATTTAAAGTACCAACGCGTTTGGTACTCCGGATTCTCCAGTATCGGCGTACTCGGCGAACCGAACATCTGAAGTGAAAATTCATTTCTTGTTACAGACGTCATTTTGAGGACTAGAAGAGTGAGGGGGGTGGGAAGGGGTAGAATAAAAGGCGAAAATGGGGTGAGAGCAGACAATTACGCTCACCACGAAACCGGACGAATCTCAAGAGGTGAAAGAAAGAGATACGAAGAAATTGATCGTTTGATCATTAAGTCTTCTTACCTCTTCTTTTTCGCCGGGAGAGTCTCCGTTCTCCACTCGAAATCTTCTGCCATTCTCGGCGCCGTCCTGCTCGATCTGCGGCAGCTGAAAATACATTTTCGGACGTTGCAATTAGCGAATATCCGCGAAATATCGACGCGAGTCAACATGCTCCAGTTTTGAGTTTGCAAATTGTAATTCCGCGACCCTGAACCGCGCGCGATTAAAAGCAAATTTAATCGGACCTGCAAAGCTTTGTAGATTTTTTAAGTAATCTTTGATACTCCGCGGGAAAAATTCGATATTTGTTTTCACAGAAAGTTGTGTGAAGCTTGACCGAATATGAAATATTTACTATAAACGAATCCTTCAAAAATTTAGCGAGAGAGAGAAAGAGAGAGAGGAACTCTTTTCGTCTGTAATTAAAAGTATTGGAATAGAATGTTTTTATGAAAGAGAATACAAAGCAAAATTAAAATAAATATTACTTTATTCGGAATAATTCCAAAATTAAATTAAATCTTCCGCAGAGAGAAGGAATAAAATTTTATCAAACAACATAAACGAATATAATTTTTTCGCTCACAAATTAATTAAAAATTTAAGTATCATAGTTTTAACCAACGGTATCTTTGATGTATTAATTTAAAACGTTTATGATTCAAACATATATTTTTTCCTTTTTTCTATTCTTTGATAAAAAAAATATACCAAACATATTTTGTAACGTCGTACATGAACTGTTGCGAGTCAAGCACGGTGCAACTTTGGCGAACTAGTGATAAGCAAATCAATAGATAAACAGCTGGAGATAGAGGGAGACAATATAATCGGCTTACGAAACGTGTCGTGGATTATTATAGGACGCTCGTACGCTTTTATCACAGCGATTAGCATTTGCCGTGTCACAAGCACTGTGTTAAGACCCTCGTGTGGCAAGTAGAGCGAAACTCTTACCTAGATATCTGCTCTTGTTCATTCGTTTCCTTACCATTTCGACACTGCCGTAGCATCGTCTAGATAGGACTCCTCGTCTCGCTATCGCGTCCGTGGTGGATCTAAAAAAAACGAGTTTTTAAATATAAGACACGAGATATAATTCTATCTCGTGGACTTTTTACATAAGGTGTGTTTAAAAATCCGTTCACACATTCGTTGGAGGCATCGCGGTCCGCGTTTTATTTTCCACTCCTCTGACTTTCTACATCTCTCTAATTTGCACTACAGAGACTCTTTGCTTTACATAAACTTATTAGCTTTTTTCACGTATATACATGTATATATATATATATATATATATATATATAATATACATATATATACGCATTATTCTCGTATTAAAGTCGTTTATGCTAAGAGAGGTAATACACTACGGCGAACAACTTTCTTGGCCAAGAACGTATGCATTTTTCTCTAGCGACCTCACAAGTGTGCTTCTTTGTACTTGCAACATGCTATTTGCTATTTGAAAGCAATGCGGTATTTTGTAGTTGTAGACGAACTCGGAAAAAGTCACGGAAACGTAACTCGAATAATTTGTTTCGTTCTGACATCCCTATACTCACGAAATAATTTATAATCTCGCCTTTAATTTTACCAATTAGATTCTTCGATTCCAAATAAAAATTTTTTTTTTATTTAACTGAGAAATTGGAGCATAAATAAGAAATTTGAGTCACAACGATTTAAAAATAAAGAGAGCTTTGCATCTGTGCGAATTATATTCTTAGGAAATAAAAATCTTTTTTTTTGCTCGCTAAAAGTCAAACGACTTTAATTTTCTCAAGAATTTTAATTTGTAATTTCATTATTATACAAAACGTTCGATATCGAATATACATATATTAGAAAATTGCGCCGCGACGAATAATTTTGCTCGAAAAATCCTCGGGAGACTTTCTGGAAAAACTTTGACGTTCGACAAATAATTTATAACATTATTAAAAACTGAAAGCAAGATGTGGAATCGTCTGCTATCGCGTTTCCCGATATACTTTTTTGCTGCGCGGAAGATTAAGTGATGGAATCCTGTTATCGGCAGTATAATTATCATTGACTCGCTAAATGCACTCCGATCGGATACGATCCCCCGGGATCGCCGTCTCTCCGTGGTGTGAATGTAGCGTAATGTGACGGCACCCTCCGTCCGTTCGACTCAACCCCTCTCTCGCGTTTCTCATTTTTCACGACATGAATATCTGGGTTAACGAGAAGCTACATCGAGGTCGAATTGGCCGGGCAACTGGGAGAGGCCGTTACACGAACAGAGAGAAAGAGACATAGGGAGCGATTATTGTTCAAGATTCGCACGGGTCGTGATCTTTTTCCGCAACAACGCGTCTCGTTAAATCCATGGGCCGATTCAAGTCTGGCCAAGTTTTATCGCGCGAAGAAAATAGAGGAAGATCGATCAACAGGTCAAGTAGTAAGCAAAACAGCAAAGTATTCTCGCGCGTTCACAGAACAAAAATTAGCTACCGTAGCAAAATTTTATCAGCTCAAATTTCAGCTATATAGTAACTAATATTTTCTGCTGTAGTTTAACAAAGAATGCTATAGTTAAAAAATATTAGCTGTTAGGAATAAGATAATATATTTTTTCCGTGTTCTTAATAAAAAAAAATGAACGCGAGAAGAGAGAAATACAAGATGAGTTACTGGCGTCCTCCTTTTGCGAATAAAGAATGCGAATGATTCGACAATTGAAGGGTCAATAACTCGTTACTCGATTCGGCACGGTCAACTTCGTAAGTTAATCTCGTTAGATCACGTACACATGACTGGCGCGTCGGTGCAGCTGCCTGAGCTGCGTGGAAGGCAGGAGCGCCGCTACGCAGACCGATCTGGATCTGTTTCTGCGAATCATCTCCTGGACAGTCGAGTAACTGGGTCGCAACAGTTCCTCCTCGCTGTCGCTGGTCACTGTAATCGGTAATACAACTGTCTCGACGCTCTCGCGTCTAGGTTTGCGAGACTTGTTCCTCTCCGCGGAACTCGCGGAACTCGCGGAACTCGCGGACGAAACCGAGCTAGTCGTCGTCGGATGCGTATTGGGCGACGACGTATTGTTAGTGCTAGAAGAAGCGGTCCCTCGCAGTCGCGAAACGAGCTTCATGTCTAGGCATAGCATTTTCATCGACCTCTTTGATAAGCGATGTATGTCTCTACACGTAGATTACGTGCGATTTAAGTGACTGTGACTACGTGCTTTTGTCACCACTCGTCGCGTTTCTCTCCTGGTACGTCTGGTCATCGTCGTCGTCTTCGTCATCATCATCATCATCATTCTCATCATCATCGTCGTCGTCGTCGTCATCGTCATTGTTATCGTTGTCACGGTGTCGTTGAACCCGGGTGATAATGACGAACGTTGGCACCCGCATCACCGTGTGCGAACACGTTGTGCAAAATTGCCGCAATCGGTTAGGCGAGGTTGAAGAGGAACTACGGGTTGTCGTGAGATTATTCGACGAATCTCTCTCGGATTCGTGACTCTCTCTCTCTCAATGTTGTCTTTAGGTCCCGTTACGCGCCGATGCGCGCCTTATATCTCATAAACAGCGCGGCTTAGCCCAGGAATACCGATTATATGGGTGAGATCACTTGCACTGTATGGTAAATCTGAATTCTCCTCTCTTGACCCGGGTCGAAGTTGGCGTCGGGAGTTGGCGAGATGGGTTGGTGAATAACGGCTCTCGTTGATTTATGCAGAACTGAGGGAGAAATAAAACGCGAGAAATATATATAACGCGCATTATTTGTACGTTAATGTGCCCCGCTCTTCGACACGATCCTTCAAGCATTACGGCAATAACGAAACTAATTGTATTTGCATAATGTGCTTTAAGATAAGTAATAATGTCGCAACTTATATTAGCGTCGCAAATGCGGTATCGTTAGAAATAATTGTGTCATGGCAGAGACATAATTGTATGTCATAATGTACTCTGTGATAAGCTAAAATCTAGTAAATGTAAGAAATGACAGGGAGTGTCCTCTAAAGAGGTAAACAATGATCTCAAAAAATCCCATGTTTTTACCTGTAAGCTTATTTGTTAAAAATCTCATATATCTGTTTTTAAAGAGCGAGATGAGAAAAAAATTGGATATTTATTTTAAAAAGTTAAATCGCGAATTGTATATCGAAGTCAGCTAAAAAATTATTTTTTTATAATATCATTTGGTCATTTATTTTTGTCACTATCGTTTGGTCTTTATTTTGATAAATGTTCCATCATTTTTTGATAATATATATCTGATGAAAAGAATTGACAAGCTTATACGAATTGTATTTTTATTTCGAGGAATAAAAGCGATGCTAATGTGAAATATCCCGCGATAAGCAAATGCAAACCAAGCGGCGTAGGATAGTTCCAAGACATCAAGAATATCGATTCCCAAGATAATGATGTTCTTGCAGCCTATTCTCGGCTCGGAAATTCTCTATTGCGAACAGTATTAGATTATACGATTTTTATTCGGAATTCAAATATCGTAAATTAAAGAGACGCGAATCAAAAACAATTCCGAGAATTTATAATTATATCCAATTATAATCTAATTATCAGATCTAGAAATCACATCAAAGTTATCGGAGCAACAAACATTATCAGAGAGGAAAATAGAAAGAGAAACCTATTTTTTAATAAGAGAATTATTAAATAATTTTATTTAATTCGGCATCTCGAATCTTTCGCGTTAAAAACGATGTACAAACCGATGATAACAAAGTATCATGAAATCGTAAAATCATTGCGTAAAATCTAAGAATATCACAAATGAATGGATCCGATAAAACGACGAATCACTAAATTGAGTTTCACGAACGAATGAACGATCCGATGCGGTCGTTCATCTCGTAGTTGCTTTATCGAACGATCGAAGACATCGATATCAGTCAGGGACGACCTTACCGTCCAATATCCGAGATACCAGAGTCCCCGGATCGCCCCCACGATAAGTGTTACGTCAAAGATACCTAACGTATTCACGAGTCTCTTGTGTGTTCTCTACCTTTGGCAAACAGCGGCATCGATCTCCCTTTGTCAGTTTTGTGGCTTTATCGCCAAATGGGCAGTTTGCGGCTGACATTGGACGTTTGTTATCCGAATGATTCGAGATGTCGGTGATACCGAGGGAAAACATTATGATACTAGTATCATCGATTTTTCTTCTACTCTCTCTCGATCGACAGCTGAGGAACTCTCGGGCTGAAGGACAACAGATACTGTCGAACGGATACGGCGTGATTCGATAACCAAAACATGCGAAATAGATTGTTGTGTGGGTATTTATACGCACACATTATATATATATATATATATATATATATATATATATATATATATATATAATATAATGTGTGCGTATAATTATATATATTGTACATATATAATTGTACATATATATATATATATATATATATATATGTATATGTATATATATTATGATGACACGCGAGTCCTCGTGGAAATTATATTCTGTGAACTCTGCGGACAAATGTCAAGTTTATTCGCTCGCATGAAATATCGAATACATCGATATGCGTCGATATATTATTCTTGCATCGTGAATTTTTCTCGTCGATGAATCATTTAATACGCATTGAAAAATTGGGAAATTTTATCCGAGTCAATCAGATTACGAGATATGCGGAGAATCTTTTTATTTTATTTTTTTTTTTTACGCACATTTTTATGATAGAAATAAATCAAGTTTTATTTTCATACAAAGTCGTGAATTTACTGCGGAAAATTTTATGAAAACCTCCCCTTCATCATTAGAGCTACATGATATATGAGAATGAAATGCCTTCGCTACATTACATCCTCGATTGAGAGAGATCAGTTCTATTTCCCCTCCGGGATACGGGATGATCAAGCGAAACGTTTCGAAAGTCTCGAAACAGGTCAAAACTTCGGAAACAACCCTGTTATTCAGGCCTTGATACTCTTCGCGAGCACTCTTTTTCTACAAGTTGAACTTTTCTCTCTCATCAGACTAAAAGAGATGCAAACTTTAATCTCATTTTGAAAAACATTTTATCTTAATTGTATAT